TTCTACCTGCCTTAGTCTTTCCCACTCAGACTTACTAGAGCACCACAAGACTCAGAGAAGGGGTAGGACAGCCTAGCCATGGTCCTTTACCTGAGCCATCCTTTGGAGGAGAGCTTAGCATTCCCAACACATGTCTTTTTGTTTCAGGTTTGCATGTTCCTGTGTCAAGCAAATAGATTTGAGGGTCTACAGGAATTAAGCTAATGAAATACGATTTTTCCTTTTCAGTGTCTTAGCTGGGTTAGAGGTTTCAGGAAGGAGAAGGATGCCTGGGGTAGGTGTACCCAGCTGAACTCCCATGTGATGCCTTTCACTTCTGAATTAATTCCCTAGACAAAGTGCCCTTTCTGGCAACAAGATAAACAGGTTCACCTAGAGGTTTGGCTCATTGGTGTATAAAGCCCTTCATAACCACAGAGTTAGGCTCTATCCACCCCATGCTCCCAGTCCCCTGTAGGGTACAGTGGCAGGCATTGTATACTCAGCAAGGTTTCACACCCTTTGGGAATCTGAAACACAGCCACTGCTCACGCCGCAAAGCTCTTTCTGCAGACCTGCAGAGCTGGGGCCGAGATGGCTGCCTCACAGCTGCACCCAACTGCGCTTCGACAAAGGCTTCCTTGCCCAACCTCACTACTCAAAATCCTGAAATGACTGGACAGGTGGAAACCACTGGCTGGGCAGAAGGCTGATTTCCAGAGCTTCAGAGCAGAGTCAGGCTGTGCTGGCATCTTTTAAGAAGTTGATTCTAAGAATCCTTTCTTCTATGGTCATTCTTATTTTTGGAACAGTTTTACACCTCAGGAACCTCTATGATCTTGTCTCCTTGAAGAGACAATTGAAGAGTGTTCCACTGACTTGTCAAGTGGTCTTTTTATAATATTTATTTGTTTGGCTTTTTCCAACAAAGGAGTTAATTTTGGCTTTTTTTTTTTTTTAAAGCATTGGAATATTGATACTGGTAACCAAAAGCATCCAAGAGATGAATATTTGTTCATGTACATAAACAGCAACTTGGCCATTACTTCTGCCTCCAGGCTTTTATTTAAGTTAATGTAGACAACTTTGTAGAAGGTCTTGTAACAAACCAAATGAGCCACTGAAAGCAAATCATTCATGTTAGCCATGAACTTTGATGAACTTTGTTCTGTTGGTTGATAGCAATCAGAGCCTAGGAAAACTTACAAATAACATTTATTCTGCCTTTGAATGTTTTGTCCCTTGAAGTCAAAGGTTTTGACTTTCCACAAATATATGGTCATATAAATTCATCACATCAATTCAAGGCAGGGAGGGTGTGAATGTCTTTTAAATAAATGCTGTTAGCACAATTGGGAGCCCCCATGAGACAAACAGAGAAAGAACTTCAAACCCTACCTCAACACCATATACAAAATGAATTTGAGATGGGGCATAGACCTACGTGAAAAAACTTTAAACTATAAAATTCCTAGAGGAAAATCTCTCCAAGACTCTAGGTGGTCAAAGTGTCTTAGTTCACAAAAAGAATAATCATTAAAAAAAAATCAGCAAATTGAACTTCATCAAAACTCTGCTCATGGAAAGACAATGTGAAAACATTAATGGGCAAGCCACAGATTAGAAGCAAATCTTCACAACACATATATCTGGCAAGGGAACTTGTATCCAAAATATATAAAGAACTCCTAAAATTCAGTAAAAACAAGAGAAACACCCCAATTTTAAAATGGGCCAGGAGCCTGAATAGACATTTTGCAAAGGGAGGTCTACAATGACTAATAAGCACATGAAAAAGTGGTTAACATCATTTGTCATCAGGAAAATTCAAGTTCAAAGCACAATGAGACATCACTATCCACCCACGAAAGATGACTAAAATTTTAAGAAACTGACACCACCAAATGTTGGTGGGAATCCAGAGCAACCTGAACCCTCAACTGCTGCTGGTGATACAGGATAATTGACCTAATGCAGAGAACAAAACTGCTTGGCAGTTTCTTATAAATTAAAATATACCTCAGGGCACGTGGGTGGCTCAGTTGATTGAATGTCCGATTCTTGATTTCAGCTCAGGTCATGATCCCAGGGTTATGGGGTGCAGCCCTATGTTGGGCTCCATACTGAGCGTGGAGCCTCCTTAAGATTCTCTCTCTCTCTCTCTCTCTCTCTCACTCTCTCTCTCAAAAATTAATGAACATTAAAAAATAAAGTAAGACATATCTCTACCTCATGTTATAGCAATTCCACTTTGTTTGTCCAAGAGGAATGAAAACATTTTCACAATCTGTGGCTGTCAGTGTCCTTTTGCAATATCTTCCTCCATGCCATTCTCTTCTGGAGTTTCCTTTTTTCCTATTCCCATCCCTGATTACATTATACAAATACTGTGCATCCTCCACCTGGTCTAAGGGGCTGGTCTTCAATGTGGCCTATGTGCAGAGCTGATCAGGGGAACTGAATTATAAGAACCAGATTCCCAAAGGGGCCCCTGGGTGGCTCAGTCCGTTGAGCATTGGACTCTTGGTTTCTTCTCAGGTCCTGATCTCACAGCTTTGTGAGTTCGAGCCCTGCATCAGGCTCTGTAATGGCAGCACTGAGCTTGCTTGGGATTCTCTTTCTCCTGCTCTCTCTGCCCATCCCCCACTTGCACTCTCTCTCTTTCTTGCTCTCAAAATAAAGAAAATTTAAAAAAAAAAAAGAAAATTATAAAGAAAAGAACCAAATTCCCAAAAGACTGGCTGAACAACCAGGATGCTAGTGTACCCATTTGCAATTAGAAATGTAATTTTCAAGCCACAATGTTAGCCTGTCTCCAATGGTAAGGAAAAGATCACTCTGGGAAACCAGATTACTTGAATGGATGAGAGTTTCATGGGAAAGTGAGAAAGTGCAGGGAACTATGAGCAGGTAGCACATCTTGGATGTGCTGAGGAATGCTAGTGGACTGTTATCTTTTTGAGCACCTGCAGTCTATAATTTGTTTCTAACCATTCTGAGATGATGCTCTCAGCTATCCTAGTTAATGAATGGGTTTACAGAGAGGTAGGGGAATGAAGGCAGGGAAATAATCTTTTCCTCTCTGAAGGATAGTGGAAGAGTCCTTTCTTTTGTGAACAACTCTATAATGGAGTTGAGGGATTTGGGAAGTTCAGGAAAGACCTTTAGCTCTATGCCCAGTTCAGATATCTTCTCTGGAATCCCTCTCCTAATATAAGTACCCATGCCACCTTCATCTACCCACTTTTGCTCTTTTAAGACTATATTATAATGTTTGCATATGCCAGGCCATAACCTGTTACATTAGAATTATGTCTTACCCATCTTTTCCTCCCCAATCCTGGCATGGTTCTGGCACACAGTTGGTACTTTTGGCATTAGCTAAAAGTCTGATGTTTTCAGAATTTGGCTAAAATTTGAAAGATCACCATGCTTTCTCAGAATGTTACTGCTTTCTTAGAATTTTATTTTCTAAATTTTATTCATTTATTTTGAGAGAGAGAGAGGGAGGGAGAGTGAGCATGAGTTGGAGAGGGACAAAGAGAGAGAGAGAATCCCAAGCGAGCTCTTCCCTGTTTAAATGTTTATTTATTTTTGAGACAGACAGACAGAGCATGAGCAGGGGAGGGTTAGAGAGAGACACAGAATCCGAAGAAGGCTCCAGGCTCCGAGCTAATAGCACAGAGCCTGATGTGGGGCTGGAACTCACCAACGGTGAGATCATGACCTCAGCAGAAGTCAAATTCTTAACTGACTGAGTCACCCAGGCACCCCAAAAGAACATTTTCTTTAATTTGTGCCTACACCTTCCTGCAGACCCTTCTTTCCCAGATGATGGTACCTTGATTTTAGTCAGGAGTTATAGGAAGGGAGGGGAGGACCCTGCCTACCTTCCTGGAGCTCTGCAGGCCTGACGCCGGCGTCCACCCCACGGGGAGAGAAGGCGCCACGCGCTACACACACGCACAGCGCTGCAGCGACCGCGAGCTTCGCAGCCCCCAACCCGCAGAGCCAGTTGCTGAGGCCTCTGCTCTGACAGTGAAGACCGAGACCCTTCTTAAAAGAATACTTTACAAAATTATTTTAATTACTATGCAACCTTGTAATTTGATCAAGACACAGTCCTGTACTCTCCCACAGCATATATTCCTGAAATCCCATCAGTGAATGTGCGTCTCTCCTCTGCCTTCACTCAATCCCAAGCGAGGGTATCCTTAGAATGCCCTCCTGACAGCATGGGAAACCCTTGACATTGCACCCCCCCTTTTCCTTTACTTTTTATATCTCATTAGAACTTCTAGCACGTAATTATTTTTCACTAGTTTGGGAAACAGGGCAGGAAAGAGGGTGCTAAGCTTGGCTGTGGCCAGGAGAAATAAGCTTGCTTTGGCCAGGAGAAATATTTAAAAGAGTATTTACCTTCCATTTGATCTAAACCAGTCATTCCTAAACCTGCTGCTCATTGGAACCACCCTGGGGAACTCTAAAATCTAATGATGCCTGGATGTCAGCCCAGAGGTCTGATTTAATTGATCTGGGATGCAGCCTGGACATCTGGCTGTGTGTGTGTGTGTGTGTGTGTGTGTGTGTGTGTGTGTTTAACTTTCCAGGTTGTTCCCAGGTTGAAAACTACGGAAAGAAATTCCTCATTTTTCTTCCTAACCTGGAAAAGTTAGGTTCTTAGCCCAGGTGGGTGATGCAGGGATCTGGCACCTGTCTCTTGACTGCCGCCCAGCTCTGCATGGTCCTGGAAAATCCGCGCGCGCGACGACGCTAAACACGTGGCTCCGGGGCGGGCGGGGCGGGCGGGGCAGGTGGGCGGGGCCGCGCGGGGCCCCGCCCCTGCACGCCTATCGGCGCGCGGTGCGGGCCCTGACGTCACTCTTGTCAGGGCCGCGGCACATGGGCCGCCGGATGCGCTGAACCGGCGCTGCGGGCCCGCGGAGCGCGGGGGAGCAGCGGCCGCCGGCGCGGGGTGGGGGGTGGGGCGGGACGGCGCCCAGCCTCGGGTGCTGGCGCGTGGGGGCCCGGCCGGCGCGGTGCCTTCCCCCCTTCTGCAGCCATCTGCATATTTTTTCTTTCTTTTTCGCAATTTTGAATATTTTGCAGGACGAGGGGTTCGAGGCAGGTGAGAGCATCCTGCACGTCGCCGAGGAGCCTGCGGGCACTTGGCGCGCTCTCCGGGGATCGTCTGCCCTGGGAACCCGAAAGTTTTTTGTTTTTATTTTCTTATGCAGATGTATTTATAAAGATATAAGTAATTTTTTTTTTCTTGTCTCCACCGCCTTGAAAGGGAGAACTCTTGGCAAAGGACGGAGGAAAAAGCTCAGCAACATTTTGGGGGGCGGTTGGGTGTTGTTTTTTTTTTTTTTAAAGAAAAACATTTGAGTGCATCGCGATGGAGAAAATGTCCCGACCGCTCCCCCTGAATCCCACCTTTATTCCGCCTCCCTACGGCGTGCTCAGGTCCTTGTTGGAGAACCCGCTGAAGCTCCCCCTTCATCACGAAGACGGTGAGCGCTGCCTTCCTGGCTGCCCCGCTCTGGGAAGAAACGACGCTCCCTGGGGTCCCCTTCCTGGGCCGGGCAACCCTGCTGAAGCATCCATCCCCTCCCTCCCTGTCCCCTGGCACCCTATCTATCCCTGCTTTGATGAAATTTGAGGAGCTCACCATCACCCCCTCTCTTCCCCCCCAAAGGGGGGGATCCCGTGGCTGAACAACGTTTAAAATCGCGCTGGGACCGACCCAAGCTCCCTGGGTCCCGTCCTGCGGCGCAGGTGGGAGTAATAACTTGACAGGTCAGTGTTCCCCAGATTGAGGGTCACCCGCGCGCAGAGTGAAAGCGCCTGCGTAAGGGCCGAGCTGCCCGGTCTGGGGAGGAGAAACCAGAGGGTCTGCTTCTATTGCTGGGGGGTGGTCTCGCAGCGTGCCCCGGGATCGTGCTGCTGTTTCTGTGTTAGCGTCAGGAACTTGCGAGGTGTGAGCTGAGACGCGTGTTTTCCCAGCGAAGGGTAATTCAAAAAGAGGGGTGGGGGCTGGGGCCGGGGGGGGGGGCGGGAAGCTGTGCACGCCTCCAGCGCTGACACTTTCCCCGTGCACTTTTCCCGGTGGGAGGGGAGAGCGGAGCAGGCTCACGTGTAACCGCGCAGGAGCCTCCTCTGGCTTGAGCCCTTTCTTGGTAAGTCCCAAACCTCCGCAGGGCAACCTTGGCTGGAGCGGGAGAGGAGGGGTCGGGCGAGGAGGCGCCAAACCGAGCGGGTGCCGCCAGGGTTTGTCAGTTGGGCTGATGCGGTTTCATGCCTTCGATACCACGGTAGCAAAGGCAAACGGTGCGGCTTATAGTGTAAAAGTCTTGAAAGATCATTTGGCTACAAAGAGCTTGGGAGTACTCGCATCTTCTCTCCTAGCGGGGGGCAACCTGTTGCATTGCAAGAGTTGAGGGGTTTGGTTCGACGTCTGCAAAACATAGCTTCCCTCTTAACTCTCCTTTAAGGAGTAGCACTTGGGAGGAAGGTGCTGCCTGCAGTCTTTTGCATCTGTGGGTGTTTTAAGTCAGAGTCTCAAGAGATGGATGAGACTGGAGGATTAGAATGGATGGCAGCGGAGGCTGTGTTTCTCTGAGGAAGAAACTCAGAAGCCAGATTCCCTGATCCCAGATTCCACCCGCGCCTGAGTACTAGAATGGGCAAAACCCAGAGCACTGTTTAAAGACGTCCAGGGGTGAACGGTGCTTCAGGTAGGACATACCTCCCTCATAGGTATGTAATGAGCTTTCCAATAGCTGTGCTTTTTGACAGATTGCATACATGTATAATTTTTGTGAATTGAATCATATTTAAGCCTTTGGGGAAGAGGAGGAAGAAAACACTTAAAAAAAAAAAACCCCTCTTTCCTGTAAAATGCAAGGTGCCCCAGCAGCTTTAAAAGCAAACATATGTGGGCTTGGAAAGTTCTGTCTTCTCCTCTGCCAATGTGAGGCATTGGTCAAGTTCCTTCAAGTCTCAGAGCCTTTATTTCTTCGTTATAAAAGGGGATAACAGCGATTCAATTTGGACGTTTATAGTGAGATTTTTGGAGATAATCTATGGAAAGAATCAGGTATATAGTAGGTGTTCAATGCATAGTTTCAAGGGAGGGTGTAGAGTCCCTGCTTTGCCGACATTAGAATCCCTAGCTCACTGGCTAAGTCTGAATGACCTCATATTGTTACTGTAATGAATTTCCTGGAAGGGAAATCATGCCTGGTTATTGGCTGTTTTGTTAAAAATCATAGCAATTGTATGTAACTGCCGGTGTTTCTTTGCCACTGTAGATCTGAATTATTTGTCTCCTCCAATAATGTACTGAAAACTGTGTTCCCTTGTTTATATCCTAGATCAGTCTGTAGCCCTGTCCCAAGGACTAGTGCTTGCTTTCCAAAGTAAATAGGAAGATGTTGAAAAACAGGCAGAGATCCATGTCCTGTCTGAACTTTTAACTCTAGATCCACAAAAGCCAGCAACCAGAGAAGCTCCCTGGGGTTTGTGAGGAGTGAAGGTGGTGTTTCGTAGCAGAGGCCAGGACGGGTGATTAAACAAAAAAAGCCACGTTTGGTTTTTTTCCCCCTTTGTTAAGTCCAACTTTCCCCCTTTTCTGCAGCATTTAGTAAAGATAAAGACAAGGAAAAGAAGCTGGATGATGAGAGTAATAGCCCGACGGTCCCCCAGTCGGCGTTCTTGGGACCCACCTTATGGGACAAAACCCTTCCCTATGACGGAGATACTTTCCAGTTGGAATACATGGACCTGGAGGAGTTTTTGTCGGAAAATGGCATTCCCCCCAGCCCGTCTCAACATGACCACAGCCCTCACCCTCCCGGGCTGCAGCCGGCTTCCTCCGCTGCCCCCTCCGTCATGGACCTCAGCAGTCGGGCCTCTGCAGCCCTTCACCCTGGCATCCCGTCCCCAAACTGTATGCAGAGCCCCATCAGACCAGGTAAATTCTAAAAAGATTCTCCCTTCACATGGGCAAGAGGGTGCAGGGGAGGAGCGGGATGGGGATAGCAGAAGTATCCTCACGGTCAGGGAGACCTTGGCTGGCTCTGAAAGGGGACTCTTGTATTCCACCCACAGCAGCGAGCATCTATCTGTGTCTCTGGGAGAGTCAGCTAAATGCTGATTCTATGGACCTGTCCTTAGAAATCCTGGTTTTTCAGCTCTGGGGCGAGGGCATAAGAATATGCACTTTGAACCTAGGCAATTCTGTTGCAGTTGATCCCACCGGCTACAGTTTAAGAAACACCAGACTACAGTTAATGGTTTGGATACTGTAGGTACCCATCTACCTCCTCTCCTGCCCCTCACCCTCTTTCCCCAATACACGGTATGCACCTTGCTGAACAACGTGGGTAGACTCTCTCTGAGGCTGTGGTTCACCTATGTTCATTTCTCTCTCACGTGAAGGGGGAAAAATGTGAGTTAGGGGTGGGGGGGCTGACCGCTTTTTCATCTTTTTCCTCTTGTGTTCTCACTGACTGAGAAATTGAGTCTAAAAGCACCTCTCACTGTAAGTGTGGCTTAGCCTTCCTCGGGGCCAGAACTCCATTATTCCTGTAAACGAAATTGTTCTTACGGGTATTTTTCATTTTCACCTGTTCATCATACTTACTACATGTCTATCAAAGCCCACAAGGTTGGCTGTAAATGGTGTCGAAATATTACACAGAAACATCACCCAAAATGTCTAGGACTTCAAAACCCATAGCTCGATGCTCAGATAAAGACACGGTTTGGGGCGGCTCAGCCGTGGCCTCATGCTGTTAGTGCTCTGTAGTGCAAAATGAACAGGAAGAAAGACTATTTCACGTGCACAGGTAACCAGGAACAAAGAGTCAGCCAGATAAATTGGCAGGAAGGTCACGGAGCTGAGGGCCTTTGCTGCAGGGGAAGACAGAAAGCAGGACAATGGGGGATTTGTGCTTGAGATCATTCCTGAACTCTGTGTCCTCAGCCTCGCATAGAATTTCTGTGACATGCAGAGCGAGATTAAAATGGAAGGAAATGATGCGAAGGAGGAAGAAAACACCCCTGTCTTGAAATATTAGTATTGGAGTTAACATCTTTCTGTGCGGGCCCCCTGCTCCGAAACCTACTTTGAATGATAACTCAAGGCCGCTGGCTGGAATGGAATTAAGTTTTTAACTACTGAACACCCCAAGAGCTTGCAGAAGCTTGGGAACACATTCCTTGATGTGACCCCAAGCCCTTGTTCCTTGGAATGGACAGTGCCATGGTTTTTGTTTCTTTCCAGGAACAGATAATCAGTGAAATAACCATTTAAACCAAGGAGAAGGGGCTGGAGCCACAGTGGGAAGGTGCCTTGTATCTCAGTCACTCTGCTCTGTAGAATGAGATTTAACTACTTTGTAGCTTTAGAAAGTGATGTAACCTCTCCGGGCGCTTCCGTTTCCCTTTCCTTTGAAGGATATAATTTTTACTTGATTGGGTTATTGTGAGAATTATATATAATATGTATAAATGATCAAATGACTACTGACAGTTGTCATTGTTATTATCTGTGTCAACTTTTATCATTGATTTCAATTCTGCCTTCTGAAATTGCTCCTTAAGGTACTTAGGAAGGTTTATAACCCTCCTCTATTCTGGAGACAAATATCAAGAGATTTTGGCCAAAAGTTATTCCAACCTTAACACTTATACTCAATTGACAAGTATTTCTCCACCTCCTGGCAAATACAAGATGTGTGCCATGTTAGAAATACTGTATTTTTTTCCCCAAAGGCATGAAAACATTGGGTCCCCACATCTTGGTTCTCACTGACAATCAAGAATTAAGGTTTGAAATTTGGAGGCTTCCCTTAAAAGTCATTTGTCAGAGCTTGTTAGAATCAGTAATTAATCAGTGACTCGAAAACTTGGGATGCCCGAATCAGATTTGCAATCCATAACAAAGGGCTCCTGAGTTTCCACAGAAATCATTTCATCAGATGATGGGAAAGGTATGAGGATCCAAGAGGGAACTGGAATCTAGAAATAAGCTCTTTATTTGAAAGTTGTTGTTGTTGTTTGTTTGTTTTTGTTTTTTGGGGGAGGGGTTGGTAACAGAAACATACTTCAAAATAATCTTCTTTTTTTGAAATGGAAACTTAGTAATACTCCTAACAAGAAGGGAAAAAAAGCTAAAGGTCTTCTTCAAATACTAAGTACAGAGACAATGATACTCTGCTGTAACAACTTGTACAGTGTTGGTCATTATAAAGATTATATGCAAAATAAAAATCTAAGGGGATGTGGACTTGATGGATGGTATATCACCAACGAAACTAAAAAGGAAGACAGCTCTTGTTTGTTCCGTGTGATCACAGTGGTGACCAGAGTAGATATGCCACGTGGATCTTGAGGAAAGGGAGTCCTCAGAAGGGAAGAGCACAGATGTAGCCTTGAGCATTCTGGGAATTGTACCATTTCAGTCTAGACCAAGATTTCCCAACCTTGCCACTGGTGAGGCTTCAGGTAAGTCTTTGCCATGGGCCAGCGTCCTGTGCGTTGTTGGATGTTGCATAGCATCCGTGGCTCCCATCCCTTAGATGCCAGTCACACCCTCGCCCCCTCCAGTCACTGCTACATGTCCCCTGGGGGCAGAATCACCCCTGCTGAGAACTTTCAATTTGGAGAGCAAATTGACGTAGTTATCCTGGGCATAACTCAGGACCCTGTGTCACATGCACGCGCACACACACACGTGCACACACACACATACACACACGGATGCTTTTTGCCTCCTGTAAGGCCATCTGGCAAAACTTTTGAGAAGGTCAGGTGGCATTAGATTGCCAAGGAGAAATACTGTGTTAATAAGGGCATAGTTCTACACTGTTAGTTGATAAAACTATGACATGCAGCGAATCAGGAGGTAATTGCAAAGCAGTTTTATTGGACACTTGCTTTCTGTATTTGCTCAACACGCATCTTTTGAGTTATGCTCAGTAGCATTGTGTCAGCCCACCTGTCTGGTTGAAAGGAAATTAAGCCATGAGCTGACAACTAATGCATTTCTAGGCAAGGTGAGCGTACTTATAAATTCTCTTACTATTTACCATGACTGCCCCCCAACTCCCTTTCCTGCTTTGTGCACCCATCCTTATTCCTCTGTCTACTGTCTGATCAAAGAGTAAATCAAGTATCCAAAGAAATACAGTTTTCCTTGAAGAAGTAACTCGGGAATCAGCCACTCCTGTGGCTATGGGGTGATGGCTGAGCTTTCTGCGTTGACATCTTGATGAAGGCAGAGTGGTGGTTGCTGGATGCTGTAGCCACCTGCATGGTCTCCTCTGTCATCTGAAGGGCAGCATCCCAGATGGTCTGGTCCCAGGTCAGCCGAGCCGACAGGAGTCATCCTGCCTGCTTTGCTGTTTGCCTTTCAGATGCTATCAGAGATGGTACCAGGAGTGCAATCCTAGAGGTATGTGCTGGTTACTGGAAAAATAAGAATCTGTTTGCCCAGAGAATTGAGCGATTGCTTTAAGGACAGCAGTCCCTTTAGGGAAAGTCATCTGTAGCAGACAAAGGCAGAGTTATTTTTAAATCACATGCTTGTAAAACCAGATTTGAAATCGTTTCCTCTGGTGGTTTTTCTTTGAATAGCTTGGGGGTGTCCTGCCACTGTTAGACCCATATTCGGCCGAGAATTAAGAAGGCTGTCTTTCTAGTTCCGAGCACAGAGCCCGGGTCATGATGAAGGCTGGTGACAGAGGGAAGTGAAAACCCTCCTATGTGGCAGTGTGTAGGAGGAGCAGGGCGTAAGTGGGTGGTACAAAAAGAGTGGGGAGATTGGGGAGAATTCCATCACACCTTTGCAGGATGGAATTTGTGTTCTGTCTGCTGACCTTCCTTTGCGGCAAGGTTTTGGTGCAGAAGGAACATGCTGGCCCTGGGATGTGGGTAATGACCAAGGGGAGTTCTGTGCTGGCGGTTCTGGGATTATGGGAAGTCCTGCCCAGGCAACAGGATTCTCTTGCTTTTCTCAACGTCATGAGAAGTTTCAGTTTCTCCCTCCCTGTAAGTGCACTCGGTTCTATGTTTTCCCATCCAGCACATTGGTAGGTCCGTAGGTTGGGAGCATCATGACTGATAGTTGCCATGCGCTGCGCCTCAAGTACTTTGGAAGTGTTTTGTGTTCATTGGGATCAAGGACATCACCAAGGGGAGAGAGTTCAGCTTTCTTCTGGAGGCAGGCAGACTTTTTTTCTGTTTCTTGTTAGAGTTTATCTTCCCTACCACACCCTGTAGAGGACAGGCTTGCCCTGTTCTCCTGGCTTTGACCTGTTGTGACATTCCCAGGATGGTGTTCTAGTCTCCTGGCAAGAGGTATTTTCAGATAGGTATGGAAAGCAGGGTGGTGGTTCAGAGCATAAGCCCTGGACCTCGGGGGGCTTGGGTTCCCATCCTGGACCCACATTGGCCTGCTATGCAACATAGTATCAATTTCCCAACCTCTTTAAGCCTCAGTTTATGTGTCAATGGAATGGAGGTGATAGTCCCCCTCCCATGGATTTTTGCAGGGTGAAATGAGGTAACACCTCACTGAATTTGGCACCGTGTATGGCGCATGAATACTCAGAGCCCGGAGCTGTTGTTTTGATATCAGTGGCATGGGAGCCCAGAAAGAACTCCCCTGGATTCCCAACCCCCATTCTCCATTTAGGGATTTGTTTCATCCAATCCCCTTCTCTGCAAAAATAGGACATGCATTTTTTTTTTTTCCCCCAGCATGCCCAATCCTTATTCTGTATAGCCTGCTTGACTTTTCTCCTTCATTCTGGGTTAGGACAAGTGACTTCCTGGTGTTAGCCCAGCAGCATCGCTTCTGGGTTAGCAGCTCCCGGTCTGCTAGTATGGAAACAGCCACTCACTCGGTGCCCAGCGCCACCTCTCCCCCCCATCCCCCCAGCTCTTGTGCGAACCCTGGCAACCCTG